CTGCAGATGAACGACCTCAAGGAGGAGGATTCCGCCACCTATTTCTGTGCCAAAAGTGGTTTTGCTAGTGGTGGTTTTGGTGCTGGTGGTATCGGTGCCCTTGGCGGAACTCTTACATGTCCCCAAACCCCAACAGTCAAACATTGACCCCAAACCTGGACCCTTGTCCCCAAAACTCAACCGTTGACCCCAAATTTCAACCATTGGTCCCAAATCTCAACCATTGACCCCAAAACTCAACTGTTGACCCCAAATCTCAACCATTGACCCCAGATCTCCACCACTGACCCCAAATTTTGACCCTTGGCCCAAAGCAATGGCCCAAACCCAGCACTGCCCAAGGTTTTTGGGAAAAGGTCAAGACTTGGGGCAGAGGGCAGAGATTTGGGGTCAACGGTTGAGATTTGGGGTCAACGGTTGAGTTTTGGGGTCAACGGTTGAAATTTGGGGTCACTGGTTGACATTTGAGGGACAAAGTTGAGCTCAGGGGTCAAAACATTTGAGATTTGGGGCAAAGAGTTGGAGATTCAGGGTCGATGGTTGAGATTTGGAGGCAAAACCAGTCCAGGGCCGCGACCAACGACCGAGAGCTGGGTGCGAAGGGTGGAGGTTTGGGGGGAGGGTCTGGGGTTTGGGGACAGGTGGGGACCCCGCCAAGGGGGTCGATACCATAAACACCACCATAACCAGGATCAGCATAAGCACTTTTGGCGCAGAAATAGGTGGCGGAATCCTCCTCCTTGAGGTTGTTCATCTGCAGCGTCACCGTGCCCTGCCCGTTGTCCCTGGTGATGGTGAACCGGCCCCGCACCGACGGCGCGTAGTTGGTGTAACCACCACTGCTGTCGATACTTGCGACGTATTCCAGCCCCTTCCCGGGGCTCTGGCGCGTCCAGAACATTCCGTAGCTGCTGAAGGTGAAGCCGGAGGTGCGGCAGAGGAGCTGCAGGGACTCCCCCGGGGCCTTGAGGTCACCCCCGGACTCCATCAGGGGTAGAAAAGGGAATATCGGGATGATCCGGGGGGTCAAGACCCGCCTGGGAGGGCCCAAAACTAAATCTTATTACCCCAAAACATGCAAAAGGTCAAGATCGGGGTCAGTGGTTGAGGTTTGGGGTCAAGGGTTGAGATCTGGGGTCAATGTTTGAGATTTGGGATCAGTGGTTGAGTTTTGGGTCAATGGTTGAGTTTTGGGGTCAACGGTTGAGATTTGGGGTCAATGGTTGAGATTTGGGGTCAATGGTTGAGAGTTGGGGTCAATGGTTGAGATTTGGGTCAGTGGTTGAGTTTTGGGTCAATGGTTGAGATCTGGGGTCAAGGGTTGAGATCTTGGGTCAGTGGTTGAGAGTTGGGGTCAACAGTTGAGTTTTGGGGTCAACGGTTGAGATTTGGGGTCAGTGGTTGAGATTTGGGGTCAAGGGTTGAGATTTGGGATCAATGGTTGAGATTTGGGTCAACGGTTGAGTTTTGGGTCAACGGTTGAGTTTTGGGTCAATGGTTGAGATCTGGGTCAAGGGTTGAGTTTTCGGTCAAGGGTTGAGTTTTCGGTCAACAACTGACCCTTGGGATCTGCGGTTGGGATCTGAGACTCCCCCACCTTTGGGGGGGGGGGGTTTGGCAAAATAAACCCGGATTTTCAGGAGTTCGTTCTATCAAAAAATGGCATTTTTTTGGATCTCTTGTGTCGTTTCCCGCCCTTTTCTGGGAGCTATTCCCTCATTTCCAGCCTTTTCCTGCTGGAATTCCCTCATTTCCCACCATTTTCTGAGGCACTTTCTTTCATTTCCCACCATTTTCTGAGGGAATTCCCTCATTTCCCGCCATTTTCTGAGGCAATTCCTTGATTTTCCCACCATTTTCTGTGGTAATTCCTTAATTTCCCGCCATTTTCTGAGGGAATTCCCACCATTTCCTGAGGTGATTCCCCCGTTTCCCGCCATTTCCTGAGGGAATTCCCACTTTTCCCTCCATTTCCTGAGGGAATTCCCTCATTTTCCACCATTTCCTGAGGGAATTCCCACTTTTCCCTCCATTTCCTGAGGAGATTCCCTCATTTCGCGCCATTTTCTGATGCGATTCCTTAATTTCCCGCCTTTTCCCGCCCTCATTTCCCGCCATTTCCTGAGGGAATTCCCGCCCTTTTCCCGGGGAATTCCCTCATTTCCGACCCTTTCCCGACTCAATTCCCCCCAAATCCCCCTTTTTTTTACCCCAAATCCTGTTTTTCCCCCCGAAAATCCCAATTTCCACCCCCCAAATCCTGTTTTTTTCCCCCGAATTCCGCCCCCTGGTGGCTCCTCCCGGGAGCCAAAATCAATCAATCAATTAATTAATTAATTAATCTTTAATAATTTGGGTCCATTAATTAATTCCCTAATTAATTAGCAATTAACCGTGGATACCACAATTAATAAATTGATCAATTAATTAATCAATTTAAATAATTGATTGGGGATAAATAGCCCAGTGCAATTAATTAATTAATCAGTGTCATTAATTGATTAGGGACAAATAATTGAGGTAATCCAGAGACCTCAATTATTTAGTTAGGGATGATTAATTAATCAGAGTTTGGAATTAAATTTATTTAATTAATTCATTAATTAATTATTCTTGGGTAATTAATTAATTCAGTATAAAAAAGACCTCTGCAGAGCTTCTAATTAATTAATTAATTGACCCCAGAGTCATCATTAATTGCCTCGGGGAGCCATGGAGATTAATTCAGTGCATTAATTAATTAAAGAATTCATTATTTTAATTAAGATTAAATTAATCTGAGGTAAATAATTAATCCACAGTTGCGATTAATTAATTTAATTTATGTGACAGTAATTAATCGGGGGGGGAAGGGGGATGATTAAATTGATCAAGGCAATTAATTAATTAATTTAATAGATTTAATTAACTGTAAGTAATTAATTTGCCCCCTTGAGGTGATTAATCCTCCAGAGGTACCGCAGTTAATTAATTAAATAATTAGTTGGACACCTGCAGTCGATCCCCGGGGACATCTGGGGTAATTAATTAATTAATTACGGGACACCTGCAGTCACGGTTCATTAATTAACTCCAGAGTTGCAAGTCATCCCCTTTGGACACCCCGGTTAATTAATTAATTAATTGATTGATTAATTGGATGCCTGGGGTAGATCATCATTAATTAATTGATTAATTGGATAACTGTGATCAGTCCTGATTAGTTTATTTGCTAATTAATTGGACCCCTGTCATTAATCCCCATTAATTAATCAATTTGTTTCCCCCAGATTAATTAATTAGTTAATTGTCCCTATTGATCAATTAATTAATAGGACCCCTGTGCTAAATCCCAATTAATTAATTGCCCCTCATGATTAACCCCCACCAATTAATGATTAATCCCTATTGATTGATTGGTCCCCTGTGATTAATTCCAACCGATTGATCAATTAATTAATTAACAGGAAACCTGTGATTAATTCCAATTAATTCATTGTCCTCCCGTGATTAATTCGAATTGATCAATCAATTAATTAATTAATAGGATGTCTCTGATTAACCCTAATTAAGTAATTAAATTTCTGATTAATTAATTAATTATTAGCACACCTGTGATTAATCCCAGTTGACCCGTGATTAATTCCAATAGATCAATCAATTAATTAAATGATCGGACGTCTGTGATTAACCCTGATTAATTCATTGAACACCTGATCTTTTAATTGATTAATTACCAGGACACCTGTGATTAACCCTGATTAATTCATTGAATGTCTGAGTATTTAATTAATTAATTAACTGGATACCTGTCATCAACCCTGATTAATTCATTAAATGCCTGATTGATTAATTAATTAGTTAATTATCTGGAGCCCTGTGATTAATCCCTATTGATTAATTGTCCTCCCGTGATTAATTCCAATTGATCGAGGAATTAATTAATTAACCCTGATTAATTCCCTAAACACCTGATTTTTTAATTAATTAATTAATTGACAAGATACCTGTCATTAACCCTGATTAATTCCCTAAATATCTGATTTTTAAAATTAAT